GGCGTCCGTCGATGCTTGACATCGTAAATATTTATGTAATCGATCGATTTTGATTGAGATAATATTATACCGGTAGGTCTATGTTTTGATAACATGATAACAACGATTACTCAAAGTCATAAAAATATCTTATACATCATGATCGGTGTGTAATAGTAATCGGCACATTTTCTTTAAACCATGTTTGAGAAACACCGTCGAGTGTACATCAAACACGGTGCTTGTATAAACAAAGTGCCTATGTATAGGTATGCTTCTTTCCGAAAAAAATTAGAAGGTAGTTTACAGTGCGAAGGTTTGAAAAGCCATAACGTCGCACCTTTTGGTTCGGCCAATAAAACTTATATTCCGAGGAAACTTTACGACAAACGGGGTCGTGTGCTCAAGTCAGAGGTCCCAAGGGAGGGGATATGGTGTGCTGAACGCAGGGAAAAAACACCCTCGTTTGCAGTAAACCTACTTTAGATTATAATGTACATAGATAGTAGATACATACCTGGAAATCCTTTGTCGAGAATCGAGTATCTCGGGTTCGTGTCCAAGTCCAGTCGCATATTATCACGAAGCCAATAGATGCTCGGCTGCGGATTACCGGTGGCGGTGCACTGCAACACAGCGTTATGGCCCACTTCAATAGATTTGTGAGTGCCCGGACCCTCGGTGATCACCGGGAAACCGGGTGGTAAATCTTTTTCTGAAAACAGAATAAAATACCAGATAAATAAAAATAAGACAAGTTAACATTTTTTTTTTTTTTTCATTATTAAGTACCCCTATCATAGACTACGTGGAAACGTTAGGCAACAAGTGGAAGTTTATATACACATAATATATATGTATAAGTATATTATATAATATGAAATTGGCAAACACTGTGAGGTATATGCCTACAACGTCACCGTGAATATTCTCGCTGTATCAACCGTGTAGCTGCCGAACGTGTATCTCCGAAACAAATATTTATTCAACAATGTCGTCGCCCTACAAGACGAGGAGTGAGCCGTAAAGTGACGGAGAGGGAGTTTGGTAAACTCGTCCCAAAGAGAGGTTGTAATACATATATATAGTGAGTGGTGGTAAGCGTGTGTGCCCGTTGAACTTGGCTTGACAGTGTCATACTTAATTATGAGGGACTCTGGCTGTTAATTACCGTTGAAGGGACATGTCAAACATGCGTGTACGTGTGTGTGTGTGCGGTTGATATGTAATGCACAATAATATACACATATACGTGTAGGTATATACTAAAATATGCATACTACACCGGCTCCCAATAGTGCCGACAATCGGTGCACAGGAACGTATCAAAACTTTCGTTACGTACCTACTATAGTTTCGTATCCATTTGCAAGTTTGTGCACAAATATAAGTTATAGGTAATACGTGTATGAGTGCAAGGGCCGGTCGCTGCAATGTGCATCGATTAGGTACCCGGAATAGTTTGTCTTTGTACCACAGAACTCTATGATTTTTATGTTTAACCGCATAATATGTACCATCGACGTCGGTTCAGGGATGATTATTGTTTATTGATAATAATCGACACGTAATAATATTGTCAGTCAACAAGATATGTATATACGCTTTAAGATAAAACAAATTTTTAAAGCTTCAAATTATAACATGGAATTTTTATGTATTTGATTAGATTTTAATTTTAATCTTTTCGCATGGTTAGATTCTATAGCAATAGTAAAATAATAAATGTGTTATGATTTGTTGTAAAACAGTATACTACCTATATAGAAGTATATAATAAAAGTACTTAAAAATTGTTATTAAGTATTTTTTTTTTTTTTTTTTTTAAATCGAGAATCACAAAATAATTATAACCTTAATCTGTATAGAAAGTCAAAGAGGTATATGAATCTCTTCCGAACCATTTAATAATATAATGTTAAAAATTACAAGATTTATTCTAATATAGAATATTTTATTTATTTATTTCGACTACAGTTATTTGTGTATTCTCTTTACATCGATATGGCGTGAATAAACATTTAATCTTACGGTGTATKTAGTCATGAATAAAAATGAATACGTTATACATATATATAATATATATAGTGTTATATAAATGGAAGAGCAGTAAGTAAAAAGGATACAATATGTGTGTCTGTGTGTGGATACATAGTGCATCTATTCAAAATTCAAAGAGCAAATGTTTTTATCTACAGCTCCAGCAAACTGTTGCGACTAATTTTACTTTATTTATTTTTTATTGTTATTTCACTTCCATATATATATATTTTTTTCAAGAATAACTATGAAACTTGAACTGCGGTTACTGTGTGTATATATATAGTATATACCTTCTACTTTCTTTTGGGCTAATAAATTTAGTTAAGACAACGCCAAAGCTCCCTAGGGACAAGTCTGTTTATCAGCTGGACCGACCCGACTTGTTAATTACGGTTTATTATATTTTCATTATTATTGTTGCTAATCCTGAAACCCATGGGAACCATCGGTAAAGATATGAATGAAAAAATAAGAAAAACTTCATCTGTCAAGAACGTTTAAATTAATTTGCCCGAACAAACAATTATATTGACATTTGTAATTAATAATTATAAGTATTTTTTTTAACCAAATATTTTCATTATTCGACCCCCTCAATTTTAATTTTAAATACAAAGTTATAAACCATTATACTTTAATACTGTTCATTTATTTTTATAACCTTTTGAGTTTATGACGAATTAAAATTTCCGTTTATAACATTTTGACTGTAAATATTATTATGTAGCAATTAAATTAAATCATAAGGTGCACACAACATGGTAAGAACGTTATAAAAACATCATAATCGTGACACAAGGCAATTTTAAAGAGTAATAAAAATATTAATTTATCAATGCGTTTCAATGATATTGATTTTTAAATTTATGTATTCATAAAATATATGAAAAAGTCAATAATATACATAGAAACAATCACAAACAAATTAATTCGAAACTCATATTAGTTAGAAATTGTTAATGAAAAACATCGAATCAAGTAAAATTCACTACCTTGAGTAAAATAAGATAATCAAAATAATATATTCAAGAGGTTGTCAGCGCACAGTTTGTTTTCATTCCCTGACTTTTTTTTTTAAATTTTGAATAGTCTTAGAGTAAAATCATCTATTACATAATCAACAAAAAATAATATTTTTGAGTAAGCGGCATATCGGTTTGTTAAATATTGTCTCAAAACAATTAAAACATAATTTAAATTAAATATAATTTAAATTTTAAAGGCTAATACTTATAGTACTATAAGAATAAAATGTAAAATCAATATTTTATACCCTCAAAAAGATTTTCTGTAATTTTTGTAATAGGTAATATTAACAAAGATAACTCAAAATTTTTAAAAAAAACGTTATTTTTGGAAATTTTAAAAGTAAGAAAATTTTCATTATAAATATTAAGAAAATTAAACTTCAATTTCATACAAATTAACAAATTGAGTATCTATATCAAGAAATGTAGGAATGAATGATTATAAATATTAAGAAAATTAAACTTCAATTTCATACAAATTGAGTATCTAAATCAAGAAAAGTAGGAATGAATTATGATAAAATATAATAAACACGATTTTTTTAATGAACAAATGCTTCAATGAGTTTTCAACAAGATATTGTTAATAGTATAGGTACAACTCAAGTTAGAATTCAGGAAACGAACTTATTATTTAATTTTTTCACTGTGAAATACATCAAATGGAATAAAAAGATTATTTATGAAAATAAAATATTAAATAATTGACTAATACCTTTATTTAAAACAGAAAACACTTTTATTAGTCACCTTTCAAAAACTTTTATAATGCCTTTATTTAAAAAATAAAGTTTAAATCGTTACTAACAAAATCATTTATTTTAAGAATGGTTTGTATTTAAGTTGGATTTTATTTTGAATATATATTTTAATATGAACACTAAACAGTTATAAGTTACCATATTATACATAAATGTAGAAATTATAATTTATAAGAGGACATCTTTACTTCTTTGTATAAGCTGTAATTTTCTACATTGAATATAAAATCATATTTTTAATAATTGTAAATAATTGTGAATACGTCGATTTGGTTTTTATAATTCTTAAATTCTGTCTAAAGTAATATTGATCAAAATTGTTTTATTTTTGCTATTTAAAATCAGTCTTATTTATGTATTAAACTTCTGTTATTTTTTTTAACTAATGACGCCAGTTGTACTAGACCTAAGTCATTGTTGTACTGGAGCTACGCATATTAATAAATTTATAAAATTAAAAATATATAGCATTTTATAATACTATTTAACAATGAATATATAATCACTGATTTATTGTTATTTTTGTAACCTCGAGGAAAGGAAAACAATATGACCTTATGACCCATCAATTCTCTCACCCTTAGGTAGTTTGATAAGTTTTAATTAAAATTATAATACCTAAAGATTTATTTAAAATGTCTATAAAACTTAAATACCTAGGATTTATATTGTATGAAAATCAACTTAAATAACTTTATAATTATAAAATATGTTTAAAATTCAGGATGAAAATACATACGTTTGTTTATAATTATTAAGAAAATAAAGGTACCTATAGGCTATAATATTCAGATAGAATATACTATAAACTAAAAAAAAAACAAAATCAGCCCTTTTAGTTTTTCATATTAAAATATGCCTAAAGGATAACATTATATCATCTTTCATAAGGAATAAGAAACCTCATCGATTGGGCTCAGGTGGTTCATCTCAAAATCGGTCAAAGACGACGCTGTGGGCGTACTAACAAATAATTATTTATATATAAGACCAGCTTGGCTTGTCCGCTCTTTTAATAACGATCCAGGTTGTGGCAAATATAAAAAAGTCATCTCTCTTGGCGTCTGACAGCAGATGTGCAAAGGTCTTGGGATATTGCGCTTTGTTCCCCAACGCGTACTTCTTTTATTCGCGGGCCGCATAACGTTATTAAATCCTCATGCCCTCTTGTTTTGGATAGGTAGGAGGAGAAATTTACCCACCTCGTGCTGTTATCCTATTCTTTGGTGACGATTTTATATTTTAATAAACGAGAATCCTTTGCCATATTCAAGGAACATTTCCTCAGCTTATTTGGGAAAACCCGTGTGGAAATGCACAGCAGATTGAACAAAGAGTGTTTAATAAATTTCCATTTCTCGATACAAAATAAGTGAATATAATGATAAAATGGAACAAAATCTATTAAAAGTACCAACTATCAACTATAATTGGTTACATAAGATGCCAATCGATAAGTTCTAAATTCTACAATAATAACACATAGAGTAATATTAATATTAATATTTAATAACATAGCAAGACAAAACTATTAAAAATATAAAAAACACAACTTTATCAGTAAATTATGTTTGGTAAATAACTATAACATTAAGCCAGAATGCCAGAACATAATATAATATATATTATTAACATTAACGACTATTAAATTTATAAGCATCAGTATAAAAATATGTTCTGTGGATTTAGTAATTATTTTTTAATGAACAATGGTTGGTTACATAATAACGTAGGTATACGTTCGTTAGATGTACTAATTTGTAAAAGCATTTTCTAAGAATATACCAAGTACAAGGGACATACATTTTAAACATAAACTATATAGTCAAGAAAGACCCTTATTGAATTATACCGAAGTGCTCTATAGCGCTCATCTGTTTGTA